AATGCGTTCATATTTCAGTGCGCCAGCTTTTAAAATCCGATTCAGTAGGCAGATACGTCTAACAATATCACCAAACATCAGATCAATTATTGATTTTTTCTCCTAAGGTTTTCTTGAACAAATAGAAGACATTGATGACACTCAGAGCGGTTTTCACAATGTTTCCATGAGAGTTTATAAAGTCTAGGACTCTGATGTTCCACGAAAATTTTAAATCTATACTAAGTTAGCCCCTAGACCGTTATTCCTGACCCATGTAATAGTTCACCAAGAACTGATTGCGTTAGATCGCTTAAAGTTGGAGAAAATTTGTCATTGATAAAGAGGCACAACAATTCGATTATGTAAATATCGACTAACCGTGCAGTTCTTTAGTTAGAATATTCTTTAACAGAATTATTAATCCATAATCTTTTGTGATTATTTCTCTGTTATATCTATTTCTAAAAATCGCGGTTATATCGACCTCTATCAATTGAAATTGTAAATTCGAGTTTAATGCTTTTACCGATCATATTCAGAACTTCCCTAAAACGTCGAATTTTTGGACATTTTTGCCCATGGATCCTTTCTTTAAGATATAACATTAGGTTCGCCACTATTTCATGGTTTCTGTGATGGGACATGGTGGATCAGCACTTAATCGATTTGCTTTAACTTGAATGTGCAACATTTTAATCTTTGATTCCGAATACTTTATTTGTTTAGAATTGTTGTTTGGATGAGCTTCAGTTTACTATCTAATAATATTTTTAATAGGAATATTGATGGAACTGCTAGCTATGACTTAAGTAAATAGAGGATCATCATTAGAGACAATCGCACTTTTAGATTTTGGACGATTAGGCTTTTCGATGTAATCCATTTGATCTGTATATCTTCTTTGGATCTAAATGTTTCTTTTTAGTAGTCACGTAGGATGTAGTCCGTATCCATCACTCACGGTCCGTGTTGTTGTGATGATAAACTGCATTATGTAGCGAAGATCATTTAAATACTCTAACACTCAATTCCTTTCAACTTCTGCATTTGGATGTTTAATTTTCCACACTGCAACAATAAAAAACACACAAAAAAATACCAGCAGAAATGAACACTTCTTTTTACCATCCACGTATAATATTCGTATAACTTTAGTTCTTTTTATTTCAGTTTAATGTTTGAAAAGAACTCCTTCAACTTTTCATCGACAACGAAAAAGACACGAATAAAAATAAAACCTTCAAACAACAAAAAAAAAAAGAGAACATGCCAGTAACACTATTTCAACTTTAGGAAACCTCTTTTTTACTTTATTTTACTTATTTTGATTTCATACAATCCATCTTGAAATGTCTTCGCTGTCTGGATGGGATTTTTTGGTTAAAATATCATTTAACCGTGGGATGAGTTGGTATAAAAATTCCAGAAATTTTTGTTTACCAATTTGGAAGTAGAAAGAATAGGAATAGATCCACGCTAGCTTAGGATATTATTTCAAGTAATTAGTCCCGAACCCATAGTTTGAAGACAATATTTATATGATTCACTCAATTAGTGTTTTTCCCCATTATAAATATTTTAATTTCACCAGTCATCCTGCCTTTGAAATTTTGCCATATACGACCCATAGTGCACATGTTTTAACTAAGAAAACAATAAAGTTATATAAGTGGCAATAGTTCTTAGCTGTTTTCGAAAACATTGCCATATCCCCATCGTAGTCGTCATCATCATCCTATTCCTCTGCTAAGTACTCTGCCCATCATCGTCTTCGTCATCATCATCTAAATCTTCACGGTTTTTGTTCTTTTTGGAAAATTTCGATTGTTCGTTCAGTTTAGTTTAGTTTTGCATACGACTACAATTTTGATCACTTATTGTACTTTTTCTATTTTTTTTTTAGTTGTTTAGTACAACAAAGAACTTTTTTTCTCTACAACGTGTAGAGTACACAAAAAAAATCTTTAGGGTTTATTTTGTACTTTGTTGATTTTCAGCCAAAGAAAATGTTGAGAACACTATGAAACGACCATTATCTTGTGATGCGAAGCATTAACAAAATACAAGAAAAAACACCAAAAAAAAAACTAAGAAAAAAGAACCAAAGAAAATCATTAAATTTATTTTGCTTGATTTAAATCACTTCCGTAAACAAGAATTTTAATATTGGAACATTTCGATTTTCTACTTCTTTTCATTCAAACAAAATTCCAAGAAATCAAAATTAAATAAGAAGTGTATGAGACGAATTCATGCAAATTAATGTTCGAATCTTAAGGAAATTTAAGGAAAGGGAGCGTAAAATTAACCATTTTTTATATTTTTTGCAAGAAGAATCAAATTGCCAAAATGTATGATTGAAATCAATTTCATGTAGCGGAATTTTTAATATTCAATACATTTTAGATAAAAAATATAAAGTACATATTTTTAAATTTATTGCACAGTTAATAATAATAATTTTTATTTATACTCGATATTATCACAAAATATTTCCATGTTGTTTTAAATCTTTTTTATAAAGCCAAAAATTACACAACCGAATTCATTTGTTTTCGAAAAACTATTGAAAATTAAAACAAGTAAGAAATTATAGTCGGGCGAGGCCGACCATATAATTCCCTACACCTGTTACAAAAAAATGTGATTTAGTTTTAATAATAAAGCATTTAAGTTGAATTGTACCTTGCCTCAGATATGCTTAAGCTATTTATTGTTGAATAAAATTGTGGACATTTAAGTCAAATTTTGAAGGGAGCTTTGAATAGGAGCTATGGTCAAATGAGACCCTATAATTATAAAATTCAAGACTAGTATAGAACTTGGATTTGCAGCTTTTTGTCGAGATACGAGTATATTAAACATAATTATGAACTTAAAAGCCCTATTCGTCCGGTTCAGTTGTATGGGGGCTAGGTGAAATAATGAACCGATGTTAACCATTTTCAACAGGCTTCGTCTCCGGTACCATAGGAGATCGTGTGCCAAATTTCATTGAATTATCTTCAAAATTACGAAATCGACTCAGAAAATGATTCTAAGCCGATTTAAGATGGATATAGGACCAATATTATTGTGCGTTACAAACATCAGCACAAACCCAATATACCCTCCCCACTAAAGTGGTGTAGGGTATAACAGTGATATGAGCTTAACTACATATTACTCTCTTATTCATATTCAATTTGTATTTTATTAAAGTTACTAAAACGAAATTTCCCTACAAAAAGTTTTCAGTAAACCTTTGATAATTTTAACAAGTAGGAAAGTATAATCGGCCATAGCCGACCATATGATACCCTACACCACTGGGTATGTTAAAAATGTGCATTATTTTTAATAACAAAGGATTTATGTTGTTTACCTTAATTCCGAAATATTTTAACAAGCGTTATATGGAGGAAAGGGTAAATATGGGCCTATCCTTATAAATTTTGGTACATGGCTTTACGCTTACATTAGATTTATGTATGCTAGATTTCATCGTGATACTAGTGTTTATTAGTGAATTATTGACCTTCAAGTCTTTGTATGGGGGCTAGGGTCAAATAAAGTCCGATAATTACAAAAATCGGTAGTATTATTAAGACGTATATTGAACTAAGTTTTGCCGATTTTTGTAGAGATACTACAATATTTAACATAATTATGAACTCAAAAGCCCTCTTCGGGGGGTTGGGTTGTAAGGGGGCTAGGTGAAATAATGGACCGATTTCAACCATTTTCAATAGGCTTCGTCGTTGTCTTGAAAATTGCGACCTGTACTTTGCGCACAAGGTTTACATGGACAGCCAGCCGGACAGACGGACATGGCTTAATCGACTCAGAAGTTCTGAGTCGATCGGTATACTTTAAGGTTGGTGTAGGACCAATATTTTTGTGCAATACAAACATCAGCACAAACGTATAATACCCTCCTATGGTGGTGTGGTTTATAAATAATGTTTAACTGTAATAATAAGCATATGTTGTTTCTAATCATAAATAAATCGTGATAAAACTTTTATTTGTTTAGGGCAATAATCAAAATAGTTTAAATTGTTATTAGATTTAAAAAATAATGGTTAACATGAACAGGGATTCTGAATAACGAATGTTTTACTTTAAATTACACAACTGTTATAAATTTTAGTCAACACCAACACATGTTTGACAGGGTCATACAAGTTAAAATATTGCATATTTAAGCAGCAGTGTTGAAGGAGAACCATATTACTTAATTTCTGGACTCTGCATATAGTAAAAGCGGAATGCCAGAGTTTCATTTCTATGTCGTTCATTTATTAATAATATTCACCACCTCCACAACCTAGAGATATGAATATCATTTTGCGTTTTAGTTCCTCTTATAACATGGGACCCCCGCTTACTCAAGTTCAGACAGGGTGCGAATACAGTTGAAGACAGTTCGACCTTATTTGATTAATGTAAAAATCCTTGATATGTGCAAAATAATCGAAGTAGATAGTATTGGTTGTAGAGTTTCGAGTTTAAACTGTGGAAAACGGAGCCGACATTAGGTAATCGATGGAAGCAAAAAAATACGATTATCGGATAAATCTCCCGAGCTAGTAGACGTTAAAGGATTTGAACACTTAGTGTAGACTGAGATCACGTTTACCAGACAATTGCAGAACAGTCGTATCTTCTTGATATTATTATTCAGAAGATCCTGTTTGACACAGTACAGTACTGCCATCTACTCCCACAGACTCGTTATATATACTTTTTAGGATGATGTCATAAATGATTCGATCATGTTTCAGTACGTAACAGAAGAATGACCGTTTTTATACTGAATTATTTTGGTTGGTACCATTTTTCATCAAACAAGTGAACCATAGACCAGAATAGATGTTATTATATACACAGTCAATGTAATGTTTAAGAACTGTTGTGTATTTGACACTGAATTGGCGATTATTTTATTTTATACATTGACAACATTATTTTGCATTCATTCATTTTTTCTTATGTTCATTTTCATTCATGTTAATTCTTGTTTTATCATTCTACTTTTAACTTTTGAATAAAACGTACTTTAGTTTGTTTTTGTTGTAACCAAGACTTTATATTTAAAAAGTGGTGTCAGAAGTGGGATTCTAAATGCGAATTCCACAGTGACCATGAATCCTGAACAAATTGAACCGTTGACGAATGTGATTGCAGATGCTATCCGGCAGGCAGTACAACAGGCAACACAGGCGGTATTGAACAGTGTCCCACATCAACAAATTTCTACGAATCCAAAGCCACCACCATTTTCTTTCTCGGAGTATAGATCTACAGACGAAATTACAGTATGTGATTATTTTACCAGACTCGAATGGGCTTTAAAATTAAGCAAGATTCCTGAAGAAGAATACGCGAATTATGCCAGAGTGAATATTGGTGCCGAATTGAATAACGCTTTGAAAGTGCTGATAAGCCCACGATCTCCTGATAACGCTACATACAGTGAGTTAAAGAACGCATTGATATCACATTTCGATGCTGAGAAGAATAAGTACGCAGAAAGCATTAAGTTCCGACGAACGTTGCAGGAAAATGGTGAAACGATGGCAAATTTTGCTTTGAGGCTTAAACAGGCAACATCATTCTGTGAGTACGCGGAATTCCTTGACAGAATGTTGATTGAACAATTTTTAGTGGGATTGAAATCACAACCCATTTGTGATGAGATCATTGCGAAGAAACCTTCTACGTTTAGAGAGGCATACGAAATTGCTCACGCTTTGGAATCATCTCATCAGACGACAACTGACATGAAAACATCAGTAACATTACCCCAATCTGCTGACCTCACGAATAAAGTAGGTACTTTTTCACAACGAAGGAACGAGAGAAAGCACGCCCCTAATATGAGACAAGGTGACAATCGTATCAAGAGAGATACTAATGAACAGAAGGGGTCGAATACGGTTTGTTATGGTTGTGGTGGCCAGCATCAAAGGAAAGGATGTAAATTTTTGAATGCTACGTGTTATAGTTGTGGAAAGACAGGCCACATTTCTAGAGTGTGTAATTCGAAAACATCTCAACTGACCGAGGAGCCCGAAACTGAAATAGACTTCGTGGAGAGTATTCATAAATTAAATGACGTGAAAACATGTAAGAGAATGATAAGTACAACTATAAATGGTACCGCCATCCAAATGGAATTGGACACCGGTGCTCCATGCGGAATGATAAGCAAGATTGAATATCAGCAAATTAAAGCTACTGGTCGTCTGCGGAGGACGGATAGAAATTTTTGCAGCTACACGGGTCACAAGATACAATGCGTGGGTCGGGCACCAGTGAACGTCAAGGTGGGTGCAACAACTCGCAGACTTAATGTTTATGTAGTTGATGGCAAATTCGACTCCCTGTTTGGAAGGGAGTGGATTTCACAGTTTACGGAGGAAATCGATTTTAGGAAACTATTTTCGACATCGGATCAGGTAAATACTATAAAAGTAGCCACGCCATCATTGACTTCTACTCAGAATGAAACTCTTCAGCAGATTTTGAATTCATATGACGATGTCTTTGGCGAAACAGCAGGTAAATTAGTCGGACCACCCATAAAATGCCATTTTAAACCTGATATTACACCGGTATTCTCAAAAGCGAGGGAAATACCAATTGCACTGCGTGAATCCTATGCTGCCGAAATCGATTCCAAAATAGCATCTGGGTTTTATGAACGCGTTGAATTCTCGGAATGGGCATCGACCACACATGTCGTCACCAGGAAGAACGGTAAGATTAGAATCACGGGCAATTATAAACCCACACTGAATCCGAGGATAATTATAGACGAATACCCAATTCCCCGTGCTGAACATCTGTTTAACAAAATGAGTGGGGCCAAAATTTTCTGTCATCTTGACATTACTGATGCGTATTCCCACTTACCAATAGATAGAGAATTTAGTCACGCCTTGACACTTAATACGCCAACACATGGACTCATTCGTCCTACCAGGGCCGTATACGGTGCGGCAAATATCCCTGCCATATGGCAGCGACGAATGGAAACGGTGTTACAGGGCGTTGCGAATGTATGTAATTTTTTTGATGACATGTTAATTTACGCTGTCGATTTTGATGCTATGCTTCTTGCCCTTCAGACAACACTAGACCGACTACGGGAACAAGGACTGCGCCTTAACCGTAGTAAATGTGTATTTGCGGCTCCCGCTGTTGAGTTTCTTGGACACAAAATTGATTCTAACGGCATTCATAAATCGGATAAACATATTGAGGCGGTTAGAGATGCACCCAAACCCACGAATGTAGAGGAGCTTCAACTGTTTTTGGGCAAGGCTACGTATTACAGTGCATTTATCCCAAACTTGTCCACTAGAGATCGGCCGCTCCGAGATGTACTTTTGAATGATGAATTTATCTGGACGGATGCAGCAGAGGATGCATATCAAGATATTAAAAAAGCTTTAATATCACCTCAAGTGCTTATGCCGTATGATCCGAGCCTACCTCTTGTTTTGGCTACGGATGCGAGCAAAACTGGCCTAGGTGCTGTTTTGTCACAGCGAGTTGCCAACAAACTAGAAAGACCAGTGGCGTATGCAAGCCGCACTTTAACACCCACGGAACAGAAGTACCCCCAAATGGATAAAGAGGCTCTGGCCATCGTTTGGGCTGTCCAGAAGTTTTTCTTGTACTTGTATGCACGACATTGGACTTTAGTCACCGACCACAAGCCTTTGTCCCAGATATTACACCCTCACAAATCGTTACCAGTATTATGCATCAGCAGGATGTCAAATTATGCAGATTTTTTATCAAATTTTGATTTTGATATTGAATTTAGAAATACCAAGGCCAATATTAATGCGGATTATTGTTCTAGAGCAATCCGCAACGACACAATATTACAAATCCAGACTCATGATCCCAATACAACACCAAAGTGGGATTACGATGGCTTCGATAATTTTATGATCAACCAGATAAGACAACTTCCCGTAAGAAACCAATTAGTTGTTCGTGAGACATCTAAAGATGAGCACTTGGGACATATTTTACGCTTACTTGAAGAAGGAAAGAATTTGAAACAATATGGATTCAGAGAACCTGAAACTAATTACAAACTCACTACTGGCTGCCTTACTTATGATCACAGAGTTGTAATTCCCGACAGCCTTCGTGGACGAATACTGGACGACCTGCATACTGCACACCTGGGTGTCGTTAAGATGAAAGGGCTGGCGAGATCATTTGTGTATTGGCCTGGCATCGATGCTGATATAGAGAACATTGCTCGAAAATGTGCTGACTGCGCTCGTAATGCCCACAACCCAGCCAAGTTTCGCCAACACCACTGGGAATATCCCAAAGGACCCTGGGAGCGTATCCATGTTGACTACGCCGGTCCTTTTGAAGGCGCAATGTTGCTAATAATTACTGATGCTTTCAGTAAGTGGGTCGAGGTGAAGATTACTAACTCAGTCAGCACTGCAGCGACGGTAAATGTGCTTGATGAGCTTTTTGCTGCTTACGGGGTTCCCGTTACCATTGTTTCTGACAACGGAACTTGCTTTACTTCCGCCGAATTCAGAAATTATCTCGGCATTGTTGGTGTTAAGTATCACAAACGAACAGCTCCTTACCATCCATCAAGCAACGGACAGGTGGAAAGATACGTGCAGACCGTTAAGGATGCCTTAAAGAATATGGGCACAACCAGACGCACTCTTCAGGAAAACCTCAATGAATTTCTCAGACAATATCGAAAAGCCCCACACTCAACAACGGGTCAGTCCCCTTCACAATTGTTTTTAGGCCGTACTATTCGTACTCGATTGGATCTCGTCTACCCTACGGACATTCCAACTTCAGTTATGGAAAAGCAATACATGCAATTCACACCAACGTATAGAACAATTGATAAAGGCGCAAGGGTACAGTTTTTGTCTGGAAATCCACGAATGGAAAAGTGGTTGTTTGGCACTATATTAACACGCTTAGGTGACTTGCATTACGAAGTGGACTATAAAGGTAAACGTGTTAAACGTCATATAGACCAAATAAGGAATACTGGTGTTCCTGATGAAGGCGATGTTACTAGCAGAACAACACCCAAGACACAAACCAGCATTCAAGATCCAGGTATTAGAAGATTTTCCTCTATTCAAATGTCACCACAAGGCAGGAGTGAAGTGTCTGGAAGCGACTTGAACTACTTCACACCAACCCAACTCAGCTCATATTCAAGAACAACAACAACGGAAGGAAGTGAGTGCCATACTGGTAGTGAACTAGCCAACCAAAGTCCAGGAAAGGAAGTTCAGCCAATCCAACCAAAATTAGAAGCAGCAACTACACATGATGGGAACCCTGGATCCTCTTCATCGCAGCGGTCTAATATTCCAGTACGCAGGTCGACAAGGATCAGAAAAAGGCGCCTTATTTATTCTCCGTAGGTGCCAATGATGAAGGAAAA